GGAGGAGAAGAGGGCAGAGAGGGAGAGGCTGGGGGCAGAGGTGACAGGACAGGTCCACAGAGCATGAGGAAGAGTGAGGGGAAAGCAGGCCACTCATAAACAATAGCCGATTTCTTTGTTTTCCTTCTTGGGGCTTTACGTGTGCTGTAATTTTGCAGGAAAAATAACGTTCTGGTCATTGGATTTTTGTGCATCACATTTTTTTAAGTAAACAGTGCTTGACATCGGAAAACAAAAGACTGGAGTCAGTCTGGGGGCAGTCTCTGCGAGTGTGGCAGATGATTCTGCATCTGAGGAGTCATTTGTGTGTGTGTGTGAGGGGGGGTTATGTGCGTGTGTTGGAGTAATACATTGGTATTGTGTCAGATTTACCAATTTTGAAACATTTACTTGTTTCACAGCGCAGTCTTTGTGATGTTAAATCCTTTTGAAATTACACTTCGCAGAGCTTATCAACACAAGGAGAGAGGGAAGCTGGACATTCACGAGCCTCAGTCCTGGTAAAAAGAAGCTCTGTTGCACGCAGCACAGTCACTCCTCCCAACTGCGTTCCACAAAGCCATGTCTCTATTGACTTGTTCTTCAAAGGACAGGAAATGTGTCACTGGTACCAGACTCCTTCTCCAGTAACAGACACCCGGCTATAATAATGAGCCCATCTGTGTGTTTGTAGTCGATTAGTTCAAAGTGGGGCTTGATTCTTCTCCTTCATTTGATGACAGATTCAGGATGTAGAAGCCACGCTGAGGCAGAAACACACTGCGGGGCTCTGTCACAGAGACCATTTTGGGCCAGCTTGTTCATCGCATCTTAAAACTTGGTCATCTGAAACCTGACATTTCAGAGGAGTCTCCACAATTGTAGACTTGAACTTGCTGCTGTCCAATGTCTTCTTTTAATAATAATTCTTATCAAGAGTCTGAGCTGCAGTCTGTAGGTATCTGCCAGAGTGCAGTACCAACCGTTATCATGCCACGCTTTTGGCTGCTGACAATTATGGTTGTCAGAAATACCCAGTTCCTGCTCAGTGCATGCTTTGGGTACCTGGCTAAGCTCTGTCTCCTAAGCTGTAGGTGCTGTATCATTCCCCAGGGGCCCAGGGGCCCTGTTTAAGCCTCAGTGCTGCTGAATGCAATAAGTGCCTCCATTGTCTTGGAAGAGACATGGCAGCTCTACATTCCACATCGTGGCTTCATACCTTTACTGTGGTTATCTTCCCAGCCCCGTACCCTGCTGCCTACAGAGATAACCCCTTCGCTGCACTTCACCCGCCTCTGAGAAGGAGCTGCGGATCGGAGTGGTGTGTAGTTGGCAGCACGTGCGCTATTCCAGGCCAGTGCCAGTGATTATCTCTGCCACCCCCTGGGCTTGTCGGCGTCTGCCAACGGGGCATTGCCTACACCCACAGGAGCGGGGGGAGAACGCAAGTCTGCCTGCTAGTGGGGACGACAGCTGCCGGCAGGCTGGGAACCACCTTACTGCGGGAGGTGCATCCATCCCATTTTGTGGAATTCTATAGAAATTTCCGGATTGAATCTCGCTACGGGGCCAGGCATCCTCTATAGAACCACTCTACAGGATCAGAGTTTCTTAATTCTTCTACAGAATCCTTCAGGAAATTGGACAAACTCCTTGCCTGCCAGGGAGCCAGGGAGAAGCCTTAAGTAAACAGCGCACTGTGGGATCCAGATCTACGCCTTGCAAGGAGCCTGGAGACCCACTGCCAGGGGTGACGAAGGTCTGGCTGTCACCAGGCCACGAGAAGACCCACGGGTGCCACTGCATGGTTTGGCTAGGCTCTACCGCCTCCAGGTGGCCGGCCCAGAGAGATCGTCCCTGCAGGTGATTGTGCCTTCTTGTCCTGCGGCTCAGCTCCCACCTCCTCATGAGGATGGCCTCCTCAGGCTTGTGATGGTTTGGGCCCTGTTCCACTTCAGCACTGCCTTCATTCTGCAGCTTTCGGGTTCTCCGAAGGGAAATGTGGGATGACAGCCTTTGGGTGTATGAACCCCAGGTTTAAACTGGTGACGCCCCAGAACCCCACTGGGCAGCCTGGTTAGACACACACAGAAGACAGCAGAATCAGGGTCACTTCCCAGTAGCTAATGGCTACATTGCTCTTTCAGAGAAGCTGGGGTATGCAGTCCTTATGAAGGGGGGGGGGCAGCAGGGCTGTTTGGCCAGGGCCTCACCTCACAGGGGGGCCTCACCTAAGCCCAGGGTGCATGGTCCCCCACTTTAATCCTTTGAGTGTTTCTCCACTTGAGTCGAATTTGGAACTTTTACCACATACTGTGATTCTCGACTGAAGTCCACGGCCATGAAAAAACGTCCCCCTTTCAGTGCTGAATCTACCGTTCTTTAAGAGTTTCAAAATGCCCGCCTTAATCTTCCCATCATGCCATTCTTTATATTAAAATATTTTTTACCCCTCTTCCCAAACCATGAGGGGGCCTCACAATGTGAAATGGCCCGGGGCCTCATCTGAGCTCCCGGAGGGCCTGGGGGACAGGACAAGCCAACATTTTGCCCCACAGGCTGTCGTAGCACAGGTGCTGTCTTCCTGATATTTTAAAGCATTTCCCTCATAAGGTAATCTTTAGCTACTTTCCTGATGATTCCGTTCTTATTTTAAATGAAATTCGGCACATCGTTCCTGTGCTTACACAAAGTTAAACAGACCCGGCAGGTTGTCCATCAGGGCTGTCCAGCGCAGTTGCGCAACACACGATGGAAATGATCGATTGCCAGTTACTTTTTAAACAGTTTATTTCCAGTCTTCCTCCGTTGCTCGGCGCTCCGCTGGCTGTGTCTGGCTGGCAGCGAATGGTGCTCGGAATTGGGGGGGGGGGCTGCTCTCTTTATTTTTGGAGACTCCAAAAGAATCTCGGGTCCCTTTCATGTGCCGCCTTGGTCCAATGAAAGACAGAGTCTGGCTGCAAGTGGTCTAATCTAGGGGAGGTGTCAATCATGTTCCTCTGGTGGCTGGAGTGCGGGTTTCTGTAACCGCCTCCTCCCTCTCTGGGAGACAGGGAGAAAAGAAAAGATTGGATCAGAGACTGTGGGGCTCTGTCGCTGTAGGATGCGTTTGAGCTGCGAGTCTTCTCGCACACGGCTCTGAGCGGACGGACTTTGCTTTCTGGATTATAAACGAATCAAATGGTTCTCATGATTAAACCAATGCAGAGAAATGGGTAAACTTCATTCTAAACATGGTGAGTGCTAGCGATCGCTTTTAAGACACTTTAGTATTGAACGGTCTTTGGAGTGACCCTAACCATCTGCTCTTGTTTTCTTCCACGCTTCCCCTCCTCGAAAAGCTGCTGTTTGTAAACCCAGGGAAAGCCCCGAAGGTAAGCAGGCATTGATTTCATAAAACGAAGTGTTTTAACGCCGCATGTGCCTTTCCTTAAAGATAACTTTTGAAAGATGTGTCCGAGCCGAGTTCGCTCAATTCGAGCCATGCTTGTGAAGACGCACTGGCTCCTCTGTGGTGGAGCGGGGGGAGAAAAGTCTTAGGAGCTCACCAACTTCGGACTTTGCGAAGCGCACGGTTTTAACGAGGATATGTTGGGTTTTTTTATGTTACCTGTAGGCGACAGCTTTGTAGTGAACGCCTGTTTGTCGCGGAGAGGCATCGACGATTGGATCGTCAAACAGAAATACTATTGCACCGGTTCGAGACTGGAGCAACCGGACTGTCTGCATAAAGCGAGTTGCAGTCTGGCGACACGGGTAAGATGAGGTTGTTTTTTTTTTTGGTTGTTGTTTTTCTCTGAAATACAAAGTAGCTGCCGCTCTTGTTCGGTAAGTTGTGTCAGTAGGATTCGCGGAAGACGCACTTTTAAAACGCCAAGTTTTGTGACTTGTGCGCTTGAGCGCATAGCGGTCGGTCGCTGGTGCTATTGTTGATCCCATTTTGAAGTAATCAATTTTAAACTCGTGGAACAATTTCGTTTTGGCCACGCCGGGGGGGGGGTGATTGGTGCAAATCGGTAGTTGGGCGATCATCCGAAACGAGAACACCGACACTGTCTCGCTGTGGAGTACAGCACCTGGCCGTTTCTGACCAAACCAGTTCGGTTTCGCCAGTTCGCAAGACAAACTCACGTGTCGCAAGTCTTTAAAGGGAGATCTGAAACCTGCTTGACCGTCTCTCTGAGAGGGGGGTTAACCTCTCCGGTCCTTGGTTAATCGCCGTCCCTTGGTCACTGGGGGTGTTTTTCGGACTGGTTCTGAGCAAATCTTTTAAATATTTGTTCTCAGTTCTCCGTGATCCTTAAGTAGTCGTCCCGAGTTGTCTAAAAAGAGACGAATGTCTTAACTAGGGCGCTCAACGCTTTCGGGAAAGCTGCTAAACACTTTATTCATTAGGATGTTTTCAAAGTTCTTTTACTTAATAATGTGTCGTAGCAGCGTATAGGTTATCCGTTTGTTGTAGCGTTTGTTAAGTTTTTTTTTTGCTAAAAAGAAAAAGTGTATTTTTTCGGTTTGTATCTTCTGGATGTTCTTTCTCTGGATGGTCATCAGGAAGAAAGTGGCCGTACTTTAAATGCGCATTAGTCCCTTTGTTTTTCTTTTAATACCGACGTTTTCAAATTGCATGAAGGATGCCATGCCACGTTTGTCCAGCGTGGATCTTGTGGACCGCGGCTCTCCGTGCGAAAAATGCGCTTCTCGCCCGGCCAGGGAGCTCAGACAGCGGCGGCCACTGTGGACCGCCTACGGTGCCGTTTCAGCTTTCGAAAACACTTGCGTGCCATGTTCTAAAAACTGTTAGGTTGAGCTGTACACCACTGATGTTTCATCTGTCAAGAAGGGCGATGGCTCCAATAGAACTTGCCCGGGACTGCGAAGGATAATTACCGGTCCGTCATTAGCGGTGTTTTGAGAAACCTCGCCAGTTAAATGGGTTGCGATCGGTATTACACAACGGCTGGAATTTTAACTACTCTAACGAGTTTGTTCACGGCGTTCGTGTGTATCTAGAGAACAGGCGTTTAAGTCCTTCTGAAACTTTCCTTTAAAACTGTCAGGTTGCTGTGTGCGCATTTGACAGTACAGGCACTCCAGGCGCACCGGTTAGCGCAGGGATTTTGTGAAAGACTGGAAGTGCTCTTTTTGACCTGGACACTAGTAGTATCAGGTAAAATCGTACTCCCCTAAGATGCTTTTACAGAATGAATCAGAAGACAATCGTTTAGGAAGAACTGTTTTTACGGTTAACGGTTAACCAGAAAAAAAATCCCGAGATGGTTTCTGAGACTTCGATTTACAATTGCCGACGATCATGAAGCATTTCAGTGGGAATACACGGGGTCCCTGAGTAATCTATCCTGTATATATTCGCTTTTCGCTTAGCGTCCTCTCCTTAAAAGACGAGTATGCATCTCGATAGGTTTTAAAGTGCGTTTTCTTTCGCATGTGTTCACTGAACCGCCCACGAATTTCGACTGGGTGTATTGGATCTGTGCTGCAGAAGGTTTTCTCCTCAGGTTCACAGCCGCCTGTGGTACGCAGGGATGCGGCTGTGGTCTGGACCTCCGCTGGTGTCGCCCCAAGAAACCTAAAGTACTTTCACTCACTATATGCACGCTCAAACAAGGCATTGCAAAAGTTTTTTGTATGCTTTAAAGAGAAGCTGAATCTAAATCGCGAGTCTAAGTACGTATTCTAATTTCTGCGCCTTAATCGGCGTCTGTCCATGCTTTGTGGAGTCAGAACTAAAAGACGTCTGTGACATCGTCAGCCCCAAACCTAGGATAGATATTGGTCTGGCTACAAGTATTTTGATACGTCTTCTTTGCAGCTACCGTAACGCGGAAGCAGAAGGGAACATTACCGCGTTATCCCTGTAAGTGAAAGTTAATCAGACCAGCTGTCGCTGGGCTCAGACTGGAGGTCTCTGCTGAGCAAAGTGGTTTGGCTCGGTGCATTGTGGGCGCGTTCCTGCCAGGCTCTTACGGCTGTCCGGTGAGAAGCGGAGCAAGGTGTGTATGAAATATAGCTGTTGTGGTGAAACAACGAGAATACCCCCCTCCCCTTGAGAACTGCAGAATTACAGAATACGAGTAAGAGTGAAATTTCGCTCTGGAAACAAATGATAAAAACAACGTGGTACGGAGCTGTTGCACGTGAAGTGGGTTCAGATGTTGATGTAGATAAGCTCGGAGTCTGGGAGGAAAAAAAAGGTTATCTCCTTAATTGGTTTACCACAAATGTTCAGACCGAATGTAACTGTGCATCTGTGCATCAGGAGGTGCGCTACAGCGGCATTAAACCGCACCGATGTCTAGTCTTTTAATAGGCGTCTTGAAGCTGTTAATACGACTGCTGCATTCTTTCTCTCTAACATGGATCGTTAATGTCTTGGAACGGGTTTGTGCCGCTCCAGGACTCCTGTGCGGAACTGGTAAGAAAACGGTTGTTGCGCTTGAGCCGATCGTGGAAACGCCAACTCGAGGGAGGTGGGTTTGCCGGGGAATGTCGTTTTTCCACTGTTTGCCCGGCAGGCTGCCCAAACCGTACCCACACCGTGAAACAAAAACAGCTGCCCTGTCTGGGCAAATCTGGATGTCATCATTTATTTTCGTGTTGGGCTCTTTTTCAAAAGCGAAACGTTCCCGTGTCGTCCAGATGCAAGGCGGAGCTGGAGGGAGACAACATTTCTCTTGTGTTGAGAAACGTCTGTTTGATTTTATTCCACTGGAGCGAGTTGGGCCTGGACAATGGGCACCTTCAGTCTACATCGCTGATCTCTGCAGCGAACAGCCTGCTGGACTCTAACCCTGACAGGCTTGGCTGTCTAGGACATTGCCCTATTACAGGTTATAGCCGGCTGTGTATTAATTCGCTTAAAACATTCTGAATGAAGTCAGAAACACCAAATGGGAATTTGGTCACAGCTCTTGGATCCTGGGTTTGATTCCAGTTTGGAATACCTTCTGCGGGGAGTTTGCGTGTAAACAGGGAAATAACGTTTCCTCTGGGTACCCTCGTTGTCCCCCTTCTATGGTCTTTGCAGTCCAGGTTAACAGGCATCATGAACGCGCCCTGTGTTGGACTGGCGTCCTGCAGTCTTGCCTTTGCGAGAGAAAATGGATCTTGAAAACAAGTGGCTGGATTTATCTACCACGTTTTTTGGCTTGTTTTGCTTTCTTCTCCTGAAGATTAAAACCGTCCCAGTCCACACAGAACCCACTATTCCCATCCGCAGCAGTTTCTCTAGCACTGGGAGGTCTCAACGAGTCTGCTGGCATTCTGCTAAAACTCTTTCCCCTTCGCGTCTAATCCCTGGAAACCTCTGGGGGTGAAGAGAAACTTCAGGAATGGGAAAGGCCTCCTGTGTCCCGTGGACTTTTTTACGATGCAGGATATATGGATGCGAACATAGCAACACAGCCAACAGGATGGGAATTTAAACTATGCTGTTGGAGAGACCCAGGCACCCGCCTTTTGAAAAATATTAAGTTTCGGCTGCTTAGCAGAATTTTAGGCCGAGAGGATGAGGGGTCAGACGGCCTGCGACAGCTGAGGTTGTTTTTTTATGGAGTCAGACGCTGGAATCTGTGCACCCTGGAGCTTTCAGAAATATTCCTAAAAGGGCTGCTGCTCCTTTTGTGACATAACTGTTTTTTTTTTCTCATCAGTGTCCATGTTCAATAAAGGATGAAATGGTTCTGCTTGTGTAAAAGTGCTACAGGTGGGGAGCAGTGAGGGGCTGGCAGTGATGGTGGGAGTGGATCTGGTCAGCGTTTCAAACAGCGTCTGAAAGATGTCTTCCTGTAGTAAAACTGTTACATTTCCCCCGGGGCAATGTAACACTTCTCTTCCCTCACTAGCTTGCTGGATTGTGAGACCTGATGCAGGCCAGATACACTTTTGGTTTTTATGTGTGTGGACCTTTTAACATTTTAAAATGATCTTTGACTGTTTTTGTGTTGAGTGGTGCTGGGCAACTATTTGTAGAATTAAGACGTGCGGTTATATTTTCGTGGTTGTAAAGTTGGCAGTTATTCAAGGCTGTCCTTTGACGTCTACCTATAGTGTTGACTTCTCTGGTCTCCTTGGCAGGAGCAAGAAGATGGCAGCAGACAGAAGATCTTTTGGTCTGATTTTTCTCGCACAGTTAGCCATTCCGAGACTTTTCCCCCCCCCCACTGTGGGATACCGAAGGGTATAGGTACACAAAATGCCTTCTTTTCTTTTTTCATTCAATCCTCCAACCATTCGCTTTGAAAACACAACAGGAGGTGACAAAGGCTTTGCACGTTTAGCCTTGGACGGGTTAAGGGATTGTTTGATTCAGGTGATCTCTGGCTGGTCATTCAGTTCTAAGCAGTAATAAAGTCTGTTCCTTAATAAAAACAACTTTTGTATATTCATTTGAGCATTTCTGAGCCCTGTCCTTCGTGTGGAGAAGGAGCTGGTGCGGATTCTTATGTCAGAAAGCCCTGATAATAATAATTATAATAATTGCTTACACTTCTATAGCGCTTTTCTGGACACTTTGCTCAAAGCGCTTTATAGGTAATGGGGTTCCCCTCCACCACCACCAGTGTGCAGCCCCACCCAGTACACCAGTGCACCAGTACGCTCCCCACACACCAGCTCTCAGTGGGAAGGAGAACAGAGTAATGAAGCCAGTTCATAGATGGGGATTATAAAGGGGGCCATGATTGGTAAGGGCCAATGGGAAATTTGGCCAGGACGCCGGGGTTACACCCCTACTCTTC